TCCCCCCCCCCCCCCCCCCCCTTCCACTCTGTCTCCAGTGTCTATAACAATCTCAATGCTTTATGTCCTCCAGTCTTTCAGTCCCTACCAGAGTACAGACAGTCGGTGTATGTGAAGTGGAGACATTCAATTCTCTCTTTCATAGCCTGACTTGCTTCATTCAGCAAACTGGCATTTTAAAAAATATTTGAAAATTTGCAAAGTGTTTATAGGAGACTCAGATATTTACAAACAAGAAGAGAAGCAAATCTTTCTTCTAGAACTGTGGCAAGCTTTGCTTTACTTTGACATCAATTCTTAAATATTGTAGACATGAAATATTTATGTACATTTTTAAAATATGATAGATTTCTGAGCTTTTCTTTTAAGAAAATGATAGCTACAATGAGCTACATTTTAAAAATTCTACAAATTTATGAATTATTCTATTCAAATGAGATCATGATCTATATGAGCTGTCTTCAAAATGTGTGTTTTGAAAACATGTCTTATAGAAGAAACTGCATGGATTTCAGACTTTTGGGCACTCAAATAAACTTCCACTTGAATGTCCTCGTTCTGTGAACCTCCTGAGGTCCTCTCATATTGCTGACATGGTGTCTTCTGCTTTAAAACATGGCAGACATGAGCCACAGCCCTTCAGTGGAGTGCCAGCTGGTGTGCAAGCCCCACAGATGCCTCACGTGAAATGCCTTCCTTCACGCAGAGTCTGCATTGAGGGGACGCGGCAAGTTTATTGACAAGCAGTGCTGGCTCTCTGGCCACTCAAGTGCCTGATGTGTTTGCCTCCTTTGCCAGACGTTGCATCCTCTCTTCCTGTTCCAGGCCCAGTGCTGAGCTGGCCCTGCACACACCCCAGCACACTCTTTGCTGCTGCTCTTTCAAAGAGGGAGACAGGTGCAGTGAGCAGTCTGCTCCAGGGGCCTGGGACAGACTCCGTGCAGCCTAGTGCAGAGGTCCTTACACTCTACCGGCCGTGGGCAAGGACCAGGCTATGCCAGAGTGATTCTCAGTGATGCCTTCTCTGTGTTTGTTCAAGACAACCGTCCTAACTGTGAAAAGACGCCCAGATTTCCCATCGTCTGGTCAGTGGGAGGTTGTTACCGAGAGCAACGGCCGAGAGCGGAGTGCCGTCTTTGACGCAGTGATGGTTTGCAGCGGCCACCACATCCTGCCTCACATCCCACTGAAGTCTTTTCCAGGTGAGGCTCATGGAGATTCCTGGTTTTTGCAGTGACTGTCCAGGTCTTTCATACACTTCGGATTCACAGGCATGCTGTGTGCTAAACCCAGGCAGAACACTGACCTCAGGACGGGCTGTGAAGATGAAGGACTCCAGGCGCTGTCTTTGTTTCTGCTGACCTCTTTGGTTCTCATTAAGTAGAGCTCATTCTCCTCCTCCTCCCGGCCGCTGGGTCTTCCTCAGCATCTCAGAGAGTGGCAGGTTCTCTGCGAGGAGGCTCTTTCAGCCACATGCTTCTTGGCCTTTTCTGTCTGGTCAAACACGCGTGACTGCTCCTTACTCAGAGCCTTTTCCACAGATCCTGGGAGACTTCCTGGAAATGTACACTGCTCCAGGGCAGGGGTAGGAAGTCGGTGGCCGTGGGCCCTGTAGCCATCTGTCTTTCTGCTGGCCTCCCATGGAGGGTGGAGAGCACACTGCCTTCCCAAGGCTTCTCAGCCTCTCCTGAGAAGCACCTGTGGAGCTTCAGAAGTCCTGTCCTGTGCCCACCCCAAGGGTGCACATACCCAGAGAAGGGACTCAGGGCAGCCTAGGCAGCCAGGCTCGAGTCCAGGTTCTAAGAGGGCCACCTGGAGGTCCATTCCAGTTACCCTCCCTTCTCCTCCAGTTTCTGTGCCTCAGTAGCCCCAGCAAGAGGACAAGAACGTGCATTTCCAGCACATTCCCAAGTGACGCTGGTGTCACTGACCAAGGGACCACATTCTGAGAGCCAACCTCAGATTCTTTCAAACTACTCCACCATCAAAGACAAACACGTTAATAAAGCCACGAGCTCCCGGGATGGGTGGAAGTGGGAACTAGGGAAGGACGAAGAGCTGAATTAACTCCAGCAAGTTGCCGACTTAGCACAATGCAACTTGTATGTGTTTGGGTTTTACTTTCAGTTCTGTTTGCTTTTGCAAAGTCAGAATGATATACGTTATTCTGATGATCACACAATTACAACAACAGAACTTTATAATGTGTTTAGAAAATATCTTCTAAAATATTTAAAATATCTACTGGGACCAGCAGTTAGCGTAATGGCTATGTCGCTGGACTCCCACATGGTCGACCATGCTTCGCGTCCTGGACCCGGTGGCTTAAACTCACGCCGGGCGCGTGTGCGTGCATGCCCAAGATCCCGAGAGGAGAATGGAGGAGAAGGAATTGCGGTGTGGCCATCCCCCCTGGGGGGTGATTTCTCGCTTTCTGTCTCTCTGTCTGTCTCTGTCTG